ACAATATTCAAAGAGATTTTTCGAAAGAAGACAGCAATATGTCTCTCCAGACGTCAAAAGGTCCAAACCAACCATCTTCTACCGCTTCATTTAGCAAGACGACAATTTTTCTTTGAACAAAGGAACTTCCGTAAGGTTGTTTCAGGTCTGTGCAGCACAAAAATATGCTGAGAATGTATTTCCTGAAAGTTCCCCCTTTGCTGTTTGCATTCAATTAACGTGCATCATGGAAATCGGGCTTTTGCAGCCAAATCGTCTGTAATAATTGTTTATTTAAAATTTCCGCTGCAAAATATTAATCATAATGGGAATCTCATCACCAGCTCGGTACGTTAATGATTCTATATAATTTATAATCAACTCGCGGATAGTATTTTTTAATGGCGAACCCGGTAACCGCCGAATAATAAATGATCATTTAATTCAGTATTGATTGGCAGAATTTAATTAAATTCAGTTTTAAGCGCATTCCTCATCCATTAAACCATTTATATTGTATTTCGTCGGGTACGCCAAGCGCCACAATTCTTGTACGGAACCTTAAGTCTTAATAACGTTTCATCGACGTTTCCTAGAACTTTTTCGTACGCGGAAATTTTATCTTAATATGTCCTTCATATGTTTCGGTCATATAATCACTTACATACGTTTGTTTTTCATTTAAAATTGTTTTTAATTATATTTGGTCCTAGAAATGACTATAAATCGACCAATTACCGACCAAACCTTGTAGAACGTCGACAAAACGTCTCTGAGAGATTAGAAGCGTAATTAATAAAAGTGATTATTTTAATATCATTTAAAAACGTTTCGTGGACGATTTTTCAACGTCTCCGAAACGTCGATAAAACGGTCTTTATAGCAAATATCTCGAAAAGAGCTTCTATGCGATTTCTCTCAAACTACTAATAAAAAGGAAAGCAGAAACCATTCCCATTAGGGGTCTTAAACATGAAAAAAACATTTTCCTACTTTTTATTTAAAAAAACAATGTTCCTAAGGACACTGTTTGTCATCTTGCGAAACCAGGAAGGCTTTAAACTTGAAATTTAACAGTTCTGTTACTTCAACAGTTGTATTTTAAAGTGTTAATGCCTTGGCTTTTCAGTTAAAAGCATTTGGTGCTAGAAATGACGATAAATCGACCAAATATCGACGAGACCTTTTCGAAACGCCTCTGTCATTAAATACTGAGACTAGAATCATAAGTAACTACAGAAGACTGACTATTTTAGTATTATTTCAGGTTGTAAATGAGTAAAGTGAAAGGTGTTCGTATCAAACACCCACGTATCCTAAACCAGGCCTAACAGTAGAGGCTCCCCGTATGTATGGAGAGTAAACAAAGCATTCCTCCGGTGGTCGGGTTGTTACTGTATTACGCCACGCTCTATCAGAGCAGAACTACTAATATCCTGTTTAAATTCACACCGTTTATCACACCTACCCGTACCTAACTTTATGCCGGAGATAATGCTAAGTGCGGGAGCAATTGTTGTTACGGCAGCGAGCACCATCCCAAATACCGTCCCGTTCCTAATAAATACCGTGCAGGAGCCTGCTAGATAAGGATTGTTATGAGGCGTTCCAGATTATTCTATTTATAGCTACGGTCTTGGGACTCTGGATGCGGTTCCTGGGTATTTTTGTGGCGATATGGCCGACCATTTTCATGAAATAGACGTGTGACTGGGTGATTTCTATTTTACCATTTTCATATAGTCGCGATTTTATGCGTTTATTTCTTTATTTTTCGTTAAAAGTTGGCTTTAATCGTATTCGGTCCCGGAAATGACGATAAATCGACCAGATATCACTTAAAAATTGTCAGATGTAGAGGAAAAGGTTAACTACAAAAAATGAGTGATTTTATTTATTTCGTTATTTAAATCTTGAGGTTTTATAAGTCATATACAAAATTTCACGTTATTTTTTCTTTAATTTTCATGGAAATTACCTAAAAACGACCAAATATCAACCAAACATCGACGATATACTGTCGAACCGTTGAAAAAAACCTCATATGATAATTAAATAGATGAGAAATATGAGAAATATAAGTAAATTAACAAAAAAATAATATTTTTGTCCCAATTTCATTATTATAGAATAAATAATTAAAGAAAATTGTCGAATTTAGCGTGTTTGTTGCAATTTTACATCTATAATCATCTATGCGTATTTCTTCTTTTGATTTCATATAAAACAGAAGTATTACTGTTTAAAATATCATGCTTTATGATAAAAATAAGTCAAATAACATATGAGGTGGCTTTAAATCGATAAAATGTCGAGGATACGTCGCTGAAACGTCGATAGAACGTCTCTGATTTATAACAGTGTTATTTTTGGGTTCTACTGCTTTAACTGCTAATAAAAATAAGTAACACACTATTCCCATTAAATATTAAAAGGTTAAAACGTTAAAAAACAAAAAGATATGACTAAAAAAAAAATTGTTCGCCTTTTACTTTTTATACTCTCGAGTAAAAACGTCCAGTGTTTACACATTGAAAATTCCTTCGCCAATACATTTTTAAGTGACAATACACTGGTCTCTCATTTAAAAGAACGTTTAGTTCTATTTGGTTTTATAATACACGATAAACCGACGAAAAATCGACGAAACGTGGTCAAAACGTCTATAAAACTTCTTTGGTAATAAATTTAAATTAAAACCTTAAGGAAATTACAAAAATAAAATAAAATGTATTGGTTTTTACTGGATGTGACGAATAATCGACGGAATATCGACCAATCTTACCGTAATATCCTTAAAATGTCTGTGTGTGACGGTAAATGTTACTTGCTCTTTTTATTTCTTTTAAAGGTTAAAACTCAACATTTTTTCTGCTTTGTTTGGTCACAGTAACGTCATAAATGAGTCACGAGACGTCTATACAACGTCGACCGCTTCAACGAAACGTCTTAAACTTGAAAATTAATCCAAACCGAAGTCTTGCAAACTCACAGATTCCCAACTAGGATTTCTATTTAGGCGCTTAACCTCCCTCGAATATGAGCCTGGCGAGCGTATTTATCCGAAAAGTTTACCCTCCGGAGACCACGGCTTAATCCTCTACCGAGTCCCTAAGCGCCGATTCATTAAATAATATTTACAGTTCTTGCCCGGAATACCCCGCGTCCTGTGCGACCGGTTTTTCCCGAGATTACAATTGATTTACGGGCCGTCAGAGCGAGTATTGACAGTACTTTTCATTACTGAACTGCTCCCGGGAAATAAATCACACTGTGCAGTATATCAAACGCGGTATCGGCCGGTGATGTATGGGAACTTATATTGGAAAACTCCATAAACTCCCGGTCCCGCTCCGTCGACAATAATTACAAATTACACAGCCCCGGGAAACAAAATGCAATAAAGGGTCTGTGTTTTTTTGCGCGAGCCATTCTTTTTGACGCTGTTTCATCGCTGGAAAAGGAAACAGCGGTACGGGCACAAAAATATGTACAATTAGTCTTGCAATGTCGGCAGCAGAACTTCCAATAATTAAATGATAAAGCTCAAGAAAGAATTGTAGGTGAAATAGAAGCACACTAAGAAGAATCTAGTAAAAAGATATGAAGAGAGCGAAGGAAAAATGATTCAAGTTGTAGTACAAACTTTAGAAGCTAGGAAACAGTAGCAGAATTGATGATAGAAGTGGTATTTGCAGTAGTGAATAAAGATGTTCAAAATCAACCAAAATTTGATGACTCTGCAAACTCATCAGCCAAAGGTAAAGACATTCAGTTACTGAATCATGAATCTAAAACGGCAGCAGTCTACATCACTCCCATTTTCAGCTACCTTAGTTGCAAGTTCAGGCCCCTAAATGTTTTTGAATTTTCTGCCAAACTAAAACGATGCGCTCGTTGATATTAAAATTCCGGACTGACGCCCCGGAAAAAAATTGCCACTCAAAATCTCATAATTCCTGTAAATCACCGAATTTAAAATCCCCAAATTTATTACCTGTCAAAAGCTTTGTAATTTAAGGCCAAAATCATTTTCTCGCTGATTTATCTTCACTTTAGCAGGTCGAAATTGAAAATCAAATCATATATATAGAAAAAAAAATTGTTAACGACGGAATTTGGCGCTGTATTTTTTTGTAAGGCTGTAACGATCTCATTTCGCAAAATTGGAGGCAATTTATTTGACGTTATAGTTATTGTAGGATCTCCAGAAAACCCGACGAATCGAAAATGTAAAATCAAGCACAATTTTCTGATCCATTGGATCGGCAAGGCGTGAAGCTCAATTTATAATTTTTTGCCGTCGGTGGCCATTATCAAAGTTATATCGTCATGATTACGTGCTACGTATTGAAAACACAAACTGTTTAATCCCACAAACTCATGCAATCGTATGAATTAATTAAAACGCTTTTTGTACCTCTAAAAAGCCCAATATTTTTAATGCCAAAAAACGAAATGTTCAATCGTCAATACCACTTTTTTGAGAATACATAAACGTTTTTAAAATACACCAGTACATCAAACAGAGCACTGAGTTGAATATTTGCAAAAAGAAGTTCTTATTTTGGTACAAAAATCAGTTGGTTCGAAGAGTTGCTATTTCCCAAAGCTTCAGCAGTCAAATAATGTGAGGTGTTTGGTGAAAGCGTCGATGCTTAAGTATAACACCATTTGGTGCAAGAACTGGAAACTCTACATCTGTAGAAGTGGAGTCTGGGTTAAACTAATTTACAGGAAGGAATTGTTAAAAGGGGATTACAAAAAGTGACGCTTTTTTACTTATATTGGACTGTCCGAAGCGCGACGTATTTTCTAAAATGGGCGGTGCAAAGGGGAGGAGTTACATTAGATAGATCGTTAGTATTGATCAAGAATTGGTCATCTTTGTTGGTTCAAATGGTCCTTCTCCTTCAGTTTTTGTGTGCGTTTGGAGCAAATAGCGACGTTAGTGTAACTTTTACGCAAGTTGAAAGGTAAAGTACTTGTACAAAACACTTTTTTTTGTAAAGACTACTGACCGACAAGCAGCACCAGGACCAAGTGGAAGGCCATCCTAGCAGCGACCGCGGTCATCCTGGAGCTTCCTCTCAACTAACTGATCACACACAATCACGCACCAAACCGCACGCACGCCTTTCCCGCCAGGGACCACCACATCCTTCCGGATCACAGTCACTCCTGTCGGCCGTCCGGCTGTCAGGCGGAATGTGAAAAAAAAAATAGCTAATGAACGACGCGGTTGATGGCTCGGTCGGGGTCCGGTAAGATCGTCGTCCTCCTGTTCAGACCATCGCGCGAATACTGTGGGAGAGGGAGCGCTAGAGAGCGAGGCTGCGCCGCGCGGCGTCGTCCCCGTAGACGCAGAACGACGCCACTCCCACCACGCCGGCCGGAGGACCGAAATCTCGCCGGATCGCCTCCTGGCGGTGTCTTCTCCGCGGTTCTGGCTCCTGGACACCAGGTCGGCGGGACCTAGAGGACCGTTTCTTATTTCATTCGCGTGGAAGTTGTTTTGGGCACATTCCGCGACATTTACATGATTGAGTCGTTCATTTCGAAAAGCACTCAAGTCAAATTTTCGCCATTTTGCCATGAAACGTTTTTCCAATGTTATTTACATCCATAAAAAGAAAAAACAACAGTCCAGGCGGTAGAGCATTTGAGGCGTTTCTATTTGAAGTCATCTATTTTGTTGTACAGAAAAATCTCAAATATTATGTAGAATAAGAATCCGAGTTTGCCTATAACAAAAAACCATTCAGGGGAATAACAAACATATAAAAAAACAAAAAATGACTCGTTTTCGACATATTTTTCCCTGTAACATTGAAAGTAAGCTCTAAATAAAAAAGTTATTTTTATTTCGGCATTTATGTCGATTTTATCAAGCTCATCGATGTACGATTACGTAAGCCATAAATTATTATTAACTTTACGCTTCTATATCTCAGAATCTACAAAGTAGAATACTGTCGTATTTGGCTAAAAAACGGGAAGTTACGACGTAGTTTTTATGTGCGCAAGATTTTGTTGATTGCATAAAAAATTCCCTGGACAATAAATAATAATTGTTTATAGAGTAAAATGTTGAAAAATTAAAAAAAAATCTGAATGGTTATAAAAGTGTAGAAATAGGTATTTTTAGTATTGATCATTGTTTATTATGACAACAAGTATCTCTCAAACATTGTGTGCCCTTTCTAAACCTCAATTTAAACCAACGGTAAGCGATAAACTTTTTGAATTTTTTTTAATTAACAATCCTGTCAATCGAAAACCACGAGATCGATCGTTGCAAAATTGTTAGGGTAAAATTGACATACGTTTTACTATTTGTTCACAAAATTTCATCAATATTTTTAAATATTTACTTATTTTAAAAATTGCTTCAAATATACACATGATTTTCTACTATTTTTCGCCCATTGTTAACGCAAAATTAAACTTTTTTAATTCTCAGTTGTTGTACTTTATAGAAAATCATCAAACAAACAAAAAATAAAAACTTTTTTTATTTAGGGCTTACTTTCAATGTTACAGGAAAAACTATGTCGAAAAACGGGTCATTGTTCGTTCTTTTTGTATGTTTGTTGTTCCCCTGAATTTAGCAATGGTTTTTTTGAATAGGCAAACTCGGATTTTTATTCTACATAATATTTGGGATTTTTCTGTACAGCAAAATAGACGACTTCAAACACAAACGCCAAAGCCTACTTTTATTGCTCTATCGTCTGGACTATAACAGTACTGGAAAATAAAATTAAAAACTAGGTGCAGTCTCATCAAGTCACTTTTAAAAATCAATTTCTAGGAATGTATCAACATCCTGAAAAATTGACGTGACACTTTAGTATATCCGGTACGATTCAAAACGCGGTTTTGCCGTGATGGTCATGTGTGGTTATCTTTACAAATTTACAGGCTAATATTAGGCGGATACATTTGTTTCGTTAACGGACGAGTGAGGTTCTAATTGAATAATCTGTTAAATAGCGTTTTTAAAACGCCTGATGCGGGGTTACTGACAGCGGAATGAGAATTAATTACACAATAGCCAGCGGCCGCCGCTTGCCGACCCATACGGGGCGCTCGAAACGTAGGATAAAATTTCAGAGTAGAATTGTTCGCTTCCAAGTGCTAACTGAGGATTTAATAGTGATAATTTTGAGAAAATGCCCCAAACATACAACGTTCATAAGTCTAATAATTGTTTCGGTACCTCTGGTGTACCTCAAGGATCCAATCTTGGGCTACTTCATTTTATCGTACTTATTAATGACCTAAATGTACCATCATCAACACGACATTTTTTATTTAACTATAGTCGAAAGAAAAACATGTTTTTCGAAACATTTTGTTTACAAATTTTAAAAACATTCGGTATACTGTATATTCTAATCGTTATTGGTACCGTCTGCAATAAATCTTATCACTTACATTATAGCAAATAAAATTACCAAGTATAAAACCTTTCCAATCTACATTATATTACAAAACAAATTGTTCCTATCACAGAACAAAGTCAAAAGTTATCGATTTATTACAAAAACTATCAACTAATTTATCTTAGTGAGATAAATTAGGAACCAGACGCAAAATTACATCGGTTAAGGAGGTATATTGGGGGAAGAGAGGAGCGCAGGGGGGGGTCCTATGCAATTTGAAAAAATTAAATTCTATTGAAATTATTTGCGATAAACATTATCTATATAGCAAATAAATCTACTCATATGCACATAGCATACATATTGACTAATTAACAACATAAAAATATCTTATTTAAGTAGTTTTAAATTATAGAACGCATAAAGACTATGTAGATGTGGCAACAGCGCTAATAATTGACTAGCAGTTGTACACACTGCGAACCTACAGACCTCGGACATCGGAGATATTGCGCGTCAAATTCGGGTAAAGATGCGTACGCGTTCAAAAATGTATTGTGTGTAAACTATGTACAATATAATTATTATATATAGCAAATATATCGTATTATCCTCGCGAAGATTTGTATCCTTTATTTAAAATCCGTAAATCATGTGAACTGGTAAAACAACGAGAATTATGTTAATTTAGTTCTAAAGAAATGAAATGACACTCGCGCCCATCTCTCGTCCAAGTCAAAGAAAATGTTGGATGCAATTTTGAAGGTTCTGTGATAGAAATTACATTATTACTCACTGTTCGTGTTTTTAATCTCTATTTTAGTAATGTTACAAAAGTTTTGCAACTATAACTAATTTTTTAGATATAAAGTTTGCTGAGAAATATTTATGTTCCTTTGTTATTCCGTACAAATGCTTTTATCTCAAGTATTACTAATTATATTAATCAAGTAAAGAAAACTTTATGTAACCCTAAATATTGCTGGGTAATGATTACGATGTTTTTATAAACCATTAAATATATTAAAAGGATTTATCAACTGTATTTTTTATTCCAATAAATATATCACAGCTTCCTAGTCCTTTTTAATTAATCTAGTTTTTTAAAAACATTACAAAAAATCATCTGTTGTGGATAATGTAATGTTGATAACATTGTACATGGGATTTAGGAAAAATGTATATGTTTGAAATCAATTTCGTTTTTATCGAGTCTTTCAAATGTATTCCCTCCTTGCTGTCAGCTGATTGCGACGTTGCCACATTAATCCTCAAGTCAGACAGAAATGTAATTAATGGTTTCTGTTTCTAATTAATACAGCTGTACTATGTTCAGTTTTACATCAAAAATAAGATAATAACAGTGTGTACTATCTATGGAAAAGTTTTATTTCACAATTTCTACATTTTTTTCTCAGTTATGGGCAAAAAAAGAGCCGCACCGTCCATCTTCGCCATATAAACCTGTGTGAAAATGAACAACTTTCAACAGTATCTCAAAATCTAGATTAAAAAAAATATGACGCACAGAGGGAGCACTGGGTAATATGCTATATAAATTTCAAGTACATCTGTGCATTTGAGTAAACCCGATATACCCCCTTAAGTCAGTTTTAGGCAACGCCTTGTTTAGTAAATTCGACGGCAGGCAGAAAACCAAGTAAATATAACTCTGCTTTACCGACTTGCTTTCAGGAGTCGTACGCAATTAAATAACTAACAATCTACCGCGGCGTAAGTGGGAATTAACCCGGTTCGAAGAAAATAACGCTAGTGGAGCAATTATAACTAACATTACACCCGAGGTTAGCTAGCTTTATTAAATAAAATTAATACCTACACACCTGTACCTTGCAGCTCGCTTTGGCCGACCGTATTTTTGCTCAAGGAGAACTGAATTTCCCATGGGACATAAATAATGCATGATGCCATAGACACAGCCGCTTCTGGACACAATGCCTTCACTAGGAGACATTATTTGCTTAACTCGCCTTTGATATAAATAATTTCCAGTAATATGAAGATACATTTTTGTGAATTCGGCCCATATAGCTATTTATAGACGTAAAAAGTTCTTTTACTCAATTTGTTGTTGTAGACGAGAAATAACACTACCAATATCTAGAATAATTGACTAGTAAACATGCGTCTGACAGATGTAGTTGGTTTCACTGAAGGTAAAATGCATTTTTCAGTCCAATTTCAGCCGTCTGCCAACAATTACCTTTCTGTTATTCCGCAGGGTCTCCGGTGACCCGGGGTCACGTCAATCCGCCAGATAGGTTATTATCGCCGTGTCAAACACAGGGAGTATATATACGAACTCGCGATTTACTTAGCATACCCCAATTCCCAGTAGTTTGTTCGACATTCGCCTACTTAGTTGGAATTTGTAATACGGCTCGAACGAAGCTTTTCCTATTGTTCTGAATAAGCTCGGTGTATTAAAAATGTCAAGTGGATCTGTTTGAGATGGAAATAATAGCATTTTTCGTGGTCCGCCATGCGATTGGGCGGTATAATTCCTGGATACACTGAAAGAAGTGTATGTAACATATTCATAAAGAAATTATGTTTTTCTAATGGGATTCTGATCTCTAAGTGGACGTAAACATTTTTATGCAAAGCTAAGTAAGTTAAGGAAAGTAAGAGCTTGCAGGTAAAAGAAATTACATAATGGATAAAGAAGTTAGCAACGTTGTAAAAAGGTTTTATTTGAAAATAAGTGGCACTAAATTTATAAACTGTCATCTACACATACATTCTCTAAATATAATTTAAATGTGTAAACCCCACCACATTGCTTTTTAATGGTTATAAAGATATGGAGGGGACTTAACTAGATCACGTTTTTTTGATATTTCCAACGGTTAAAAAGATATGAACGAGGCTCAAAT